AGTAAGAGACCTTTAATGACATGGCTCAAAATCGTTTTCAATGGCGCAGGTGCATCCATTCTTTGTGTTCTCCCAAATTCTAATCTCCTGAATTCTCCTTGTCTCTTGTTTTTTATATTTCTAAATTTATTTCAGTGGATTATTCCCCATGAATAATATATTCGAACCCCAATGTTTCCGAATACTGCATATACTTTTACTACCTCTGCCACTACGGGATTTGAATCGACAATTGTATCCCTGTGCTAATGTGGTATCGCAACTCGAATTGATGTAAGTACATACGAAGTTCTACATTGTTATTGACTAACTGACCTATGAAGCTTGTGATTTCAGGCAATATCAAGACAATACGCACAGTATTTACATATGCTAATAAGCGACAGATCAATTACAATTCTAAATATCAATGTGAAGATTCATGTAAAACAATATCAAGTGAATTTGTAATAAAAATGATTTTTCACTAACAAATGTTAATGTTTTTTTTTGGAAGTAAAACACTCCAGATTAAGTTACTCTTAATGAAGTTATGTGTAATACTTGATCATTTTCTATTAAATGTCATTGAAATTATAAATTACATTGTTTTTTTTTGTTGCCTTAACGTTGTAACAGAAACTGTATCCATGTACTTTATAAACAGAGAAATATCCTGATTCTTTTTGTTCTTTAAACGTTTCCATCTTACATAAAGACCACACAAATGACATTGGTATTAAGAATACCAGTAATGATATAAGCTGTACCATTTCCATTTAATGTTTCGTTTCTTTTCTTAAAGTTGTTTATTTGTTAGGATTATGAAATATATGTGTGTACTTTGTAAAATGTATTCGATAATCATGGCTGAAAATTGAGACATTTTAATGTGAACAGTGAAATAAAGAAGCTGATAACAACAAAACGGAAGTTATTTTTAGGGAATTTATTTCGCTGAATTATTAGTTTTTTTAAAAATACTAGAATTTTGTTTTGTCCCTAGTTTATTCCATAAACTTTAGGCTTTCGTTTAATGCATGATTGAATACCATATCTTTTTCTGTTCCGAAGTTATTCTCATTTAAACGTAACCTTTTGGTACTCTATATGAATATTCGTCAAGATTAGAATGAATAGTTTGATACAAATTAGGCACCAAGTATAAAGAAGTCTCTATATGTGCAAAATTATAATCTCAACGATTGAAATTTAAAATTCATTCCAACGTTTCGTCCAGCAAGCTTATCTGGACTTCATCAGGGTAAGAATGAAAATCAAAATCATCAAAGAAATATATATAGCGATTTTAATAGTTTAGATCATGAGTTAATTGAAGCTAGACCATCATGGGAAATCGGTAAGCACTGGACTGGCGTTTCGTTTTAGTATGGGAGTCTACAGCTGTGCGCATTCAAGATCCTGCCTAGCGAGATTCGAACACAGGACCTATCAGGACTTATATAGTGTTTAACGATCAAATCTATGCTGTACTGATCCGATCATATTTGGATGTTGACTTGGGTAAATAGGATAACATGAGTCAGTTTAATGCGAATCATATGATAAGTTCACGATGTGAAAATAAATGACTGAAAGAATTATGTGTGTGTATGTTTAAGATTGAGTTATTCGGTGTTAATATTATTTTTATATGAAGGAAAAATAAACGTACAAGTTGAAGGTTGAGGAAAACTATTTCTGAATCATTGATGTGCATAGAAAATAAGAATGATCAAATACATAATTGGTATTGGTGAAAATAACTCACACTAATTTCAGTCAGAATAACGATACATGTGAAATAATCGTGTTGAATAAAAAAAGGGTCCAATTACTTGTCAACTAATATTTGTCAAGTAGTTTCTTGTTGAATACCGTCCTAATGGTTCAGGCTGTTCTTGTTTGTTTGTTTGATGATTTTGATTACTACTCTGAAGAAGTTCAGACAAATTTATTGGACGAAACTTTGAAATTATTTTAAATTTCAATCTTTGACGTTATTTCAAATACAATTTTCACATATAATGACTTTGGTACTCTATTTTTCTACCCTGATGCCCAATTTGGTCATAACTATGTATTTACAACTGCTTGTACGTTATGATTATGTTATGTCTTCTTTTTATTGATGTGTCTAATCTGAATCGGAATTGGGGATCGGAAACCGGAATAAATCGAGTAATGTTCCATTTGTCTGGTCTTCTTTCGCTTTTCAACCAATCAAGTGATAGGATAGTTTTCATTTCTTTAACTAAAGTAGTTAGTGTCAATTCGAACTCACATATTCTAGTCTCAAGGTCAAGTCAGTTAGTCTGTCGTGTCAAGGCTTTAATGCAGATCGAGATAACTTCTCTCCTGTATTTTATTAGGTGGACTGACCAAGGAAGTAACAACTTGTAATCTCCTAAGATGAATTTGTATTACACATAAGTATTTCTAAACTGATAATCTTTTTTAATAAACTGTCAACAGACTACAATTTTCTAAAGTACATGGAAAAATGTATTAGGTTGATATAAAAATGTCAATTTATTGTAATGTTCAAACAAAAAGCATATTAAATTCACTTGCTATTGTTTACTTGAATCTTCTCATTGTTATTTAGGACTAAAATTGATTAGTCTCTTATATATAAACTATGCGTATTGCCTCAATATTACCTTAAGTTATATGCATTATATACAAAAATGGTTGGTGGTTAGCAGTGGAATCCAATAAGCGCGTTTCATTCTATATGGGACTTGTCAGCTGAATATACCTAAATCTCAGAGTTAGTATTCACTCTGGGTCTCGAATAATAATATTTATGATCGTTGTAATAATAAACTTTCAAGAAAACGTCAGTATTAAGTTAACATGAACATCAATAGTGAATAGTTAAAAACTAATTTCTCTTAGATTAACTTAATGTTGTTTACTTGTATCTCTCCATAGTTATTTAGGATTACAAATGACCAATCTCATACTGGCATATGTGCGATGATAATTTAAGCAAACAGTACTGGATTCGAGTCCCAGAGTGAACATCAACTCTGAGATGCATGTACACCTAGCTGACGAGTATCAAATGGATGAAACGTGCGTCCTGAATTCCACTGCTAACCGCTATCCATCCTTGCTTATAATTTATTATAAAATTTTCAATATTAAAAATATGACGTATAAGAATGCTTTGTTCTACCAGTATACAAATATTTCTATTATATTGAAAGCATCAAATTTAAAATGTAGATATATAGTTTCAAAAAACTCAACATAGTAGATTCAAACTAATTTGTATAATCCATAGTTTTAATTTCCACCATATTAATAGTACCTACGGATGTTGTTCGCAAGATACTCAACATTGATTGGCCGGATACCATCAGCAACAGCCTTTTTTGAGTGAGAACAAACCAGCTTTCAGCTGAAGAGGAAATTAGAAAAAGACGATGGAAATGGATAGGACATACATTACGCAAATCATCAAACTGCATCACGAGGCAAGCCCTAACTTGGAATCCTGAAGGGAAGCGGAAAAGAGGAAGGTCAAAGAAAACATTACGTTGGCAAATAGAATTAGATATGTGAAGGATGAATAACAAATGGAAAGGTCTGGAAAGGATTTCCAAGGACAGGTTTATATATGAAGAATGGTGGTGAGCGGCCTGTGCTCCTCCACGAGGAGTAACAGGCTTAAGTAAGTAAGCAAATACTGATGTTGTTCATCAAGGTGATTTATTATTTTATTGTTCTCTTATTTCTTTCTGTTCTATAATATCCATATTTGATGCTTTATAATATTTGTGAACTTTTAAACCCAATGTTCGTTAGTAGTTACATAAATTGCTCAAAAAACCAAATGATCATTAGACGAGATGGTTACCTTTCACTAATAAGTAATTAGAATGCCCTTACATAAACTTACCATAATGTTTGTTAAGACTTTCTATAGAAATGCATACAATATATAATTTGTTAAGTAATTAAATACAGAAATATAAAACGTAATCATTTTCTAAAGTTCATAATTGTATATTATTATTCTATATCTAGTTTATAGTAAAGTTACACCATGCGACTGATCTCAGGTAATTTAAAATGAAATTATATACTTCATGATTACTTATTCACCTATCAATACATAGGACATCTTAATCGAGAATATATTAGCCGAAATATCTTACAACAAACTATTTTTGATAAGAAAAATATAGACATTATTCAAATAACGAAATAATAAACGTCGTTCATTTCATTGAAGAAGAAGCAGAAGAATGAAGGCAAATGATCGAATAATAATAAGTATTGTTAACTGGTTCTTAAGCTCTTCTAATAACCCATAGGTTAGATTTATACAGTAACCTGAACACGAGAGAATAGGCGTGAACTGTGTCAGAAACACTTTACTCCAAAGCTTCGTTTATGTACAAAAAAATCTAGAATATTTATAGTATTTTAGATGACCTTATGTTCCCCGAAAATTCTGAACATAGTAGCAGTATAAGTAATCATCTAATCAGAAACTCAACATAAGGTGCACATGGGCTCCAGTATCCTGAGGGAACAAATGGCGAATGAACCAATTGTTGGTCACCGGCTTCCATGGGACTGCATCTACTTACGATGCTTCACTGCCTTGTGGATCAGACCTTCAGGTCGAAGGCTCGGGTTGTGGCCCCCTAAGAAAACCACCTGCTTCGGTTTGGGCACCCGGGCAGTATCACAGCCCTCACACACATATCGAATGAGATTTGTGTGGCGCATATGTATTTGTTGCCTCTTTGTACCAATATCTATGTGTTTAAATAAATAAACTCAACATAAGGCTTTTTACTTTCTAGATGTTTCTAGCAAAACTTCTAGTGAACGCTAATTAGATAAGATGATTTTCAATGTTTTCCAAGTCTTTCTTGGTTGTTTTTTATTTCAAGGAGTTTTCTGAATCTCCTCAATAATAAAATTCACTGAATACTTTTTCATTGTATAACACAATTTTAGTAACCAAGTAACCAATATATAAGACTTGTAATTACTTTACTGAAATACAATCAATTTACATTTTATTTACAAATGAAACTTAAAAAGAAAACAACTTTACTCATATCTTATTCATAAACAATATATACAGTATTAAATAATACTTCAGTTCTTAATTACGACGTCATAATGTAACATAGTTAAGTTCAAGTGTTGGTTGAACATAACAATAATAATAATAACAATAGGGTTAACGTTGCAAATTATAAATGCAATAAAGATATTAATTAAGTAATATATTCATAATATTCCAATTGAGTAAAAAAAAAGAAATTTAAATTTTCCAATGTTTCGTAACTCAATGTAAGCCACTTCTTCAAAGAATAAATAACCAAATCAAAATGAATTCAAGTTTAAATAGGACAAAAGAATCATTTTATATAAGAATTAAAAGCTTTCATAGATCATCTAGGATTTTTGTTGTCGTTGTTGATTCATTTACGATATTGTTTAAATGGACATATGTAGTTATGAATGAGTTCTTGTAAAAAATATTGAAGATGAGCATTGAAATGTCTGTGAATACATTACTAGAACAGTTCTGAAGGTTTTACAAAAACCAGAAAATGATTTCGGTATAATATTGTCTTGTAAAAGAAATAAATATTTGTGCTTTTTATAACTGTACAAATAATAAAAGTAAGAAAAACATATGTATATATTACTTTACCTAGGCCTGTTACCCTCAAATGGAGCATAGACCAGCATTGTACGATACTTTCCTATATTGGTAATTTCATCAATACAATATAATACAATAATAAACAACACTTTTGATTTCTATCCAGTACATAGTTACTTAATGGAATTACTGAAATGTCTACTTTTACGATAGAATCTGTTTTAATTTTCTTTATAATCATTTTAGTCAATATATATAGTAACAATTGAGAAGTAATTTTAAAATTTTACGCATCGGACATTGAATCGGTGAGGTGTGTAAATTCAAATCGATTTTTTAAAAAAAAAGAAAAAAAAGAGGGAAGATGAGCTAAATGCAATAGGTGTATAAATTGGTGCGTGAGTGTGTGTGTGTGAGGGGTGGGGTGGGGATGTAAAATGAAGAGAAAAAAAATGCCTTTTTTTCCTTTACAAAAATTGCATTTCTAATTACATAATTTTATATTTATATTTATCCATATATATAAAGAAAGAAAGAGAGAATGATTAAATCTAAATGAATTCATTATAATTTTGTTACTATGACATTAAACAAAACTACCTTCAGCATTTAAAGATTTATTTACATTAGTATTCCCTTTATTATTATTATTATCATCATATAAGTTATGCATTTCATTCATATCTTTACTATTATTATTATTATTATTATTATTATTGTTAGTGATTACTGATGAATCTTTTTTTGGTGAAATCAAAGTAACCATTTTTGATTGACGTGTTGTTTTCATTTTTTTCTCTCCTTCCATTAATTTATTAGGTGATTTATTCAAATCATTTGTAGTAAGATTACAATTTGTTATATTATGTGTATATTCAATTGTTGTTGGATAATTTGTTAATAAATGATTATTATTTAATAAATTACATTTATTCAATGTAGGCATTAATTTATTATGATTATGATTACTGTTACCAAATATATTATCATTATTATTAATAGACTTTTTATTAGATTTGATTGTTGACATATAAAAATCATCCGATTGGCATAAATTCTCACATGATGGTGTTTTGTGATTATCAGTTAATTGTGAATGTGTCAATGGTTGTAATTGAAAAAAATCTGGGAATATAGTATGAATGTTACCATTGTTATTATTATTATTGTTGCTATTACTACCACCACCACCACCACCACCACCACTATTATTATTATTATTAGTTGTAGTAGTATGATTTGGTTTCCCACTATTACTATTATTATTATTATTATTATTATTATTATTTGGTTTGGATGATTTCAACTGTGTTTTACAATTTAATTGATCATATGGATTTAGGAATGATTCAATCGGTTGATGTTGATCAGATTTCATCCAACTACAAAATAATGGTGAAGTTTTATTCAATTGTCTATCATCATCACCACGATGAAATGATGTTAAAGTTTGATATTCATTTCTAGATGATATTGGTGTATTATGCACAGCATCATTTTCATGTATATCACCTTGTGCTAACTGGAAACGTACTAAACGACTATCTATAAGGTTATTAAAAAAAATATGTGCAATTTAAACATGGAATAAATATGATGGATATAATTCAAACTTTATATTTAAATTTAATTTTATATAATGAAATTAGGAATTAACAATCATAACTTTCATTGAGAATAGGGATTAACCGTTCCATCCTAGTGTAGGCCTGCTTAGAAACATACATTCATAACCCTTCATGTGGGAATCGATCTCAAGAGCTCCAGTCTCATACACAAACCCAAACTATAGTTCGCGACCATATTCTACTGTCTATGTTTGTTAACTGTCTCATAATGAACATGGTCTTACTCCACTACTGAGAGGTTCTATACTAGGATAAAATGGTTATTGCTTTAAAAATGTTCCATTCAAAATCATATAAGGAAGGGATAAGAGTAATATACTTCAAAGAAGTGATTTATAGCCAAAAGAGTTGAAATATGTATGAGTAAAACGCAATATAGAAGTGAAATTCTGACATGGTTATGATGATAATTTTAGTAATGATCACACTGAACATGCAATTAAAAATTTCTCATGAAAACAGTCAGGGCAAAGATATGTATACACATATAATGTTCATATAAAAATTAATTTAACTATGTTACAAACAGTTGATTTTTAATATAGACATTCGGATGACTTAAACACGGAGAGATTACTGGAAATCAACGGTTTGAAAAGATTTGCTTCTTCGTGTTCAGAAACAAATGTGGGGTGTAGAGTGTATCACATTTGATTTTTCAGCCGTTATATCCGACTTTGTTTCTTTGACAATTGGTTTGAAATATCAGATACAAGCCTTATAATTAACGTAGTCGTCTAGAAGTCAATACAAACAGTCTGGAACAGACGTAAAACTTATCGGATTTGCTATTATTTTCTTTGATGGAGGTTAATCTTTCACCGGTTTAAACATAAAATGTAGCTATATCTCTTATAAGATTTTCATATGAAGATCTTAACAATGATGAAATCAATACAAATGTTAATAATTGTGAAAATTATTGGAAAAGATTAGAAACGACAAAATAAATAAAAAAAGATCAATTATGGAAGATTGAAAGGATGGTTAAGTCCACGGAAGAATGAGGGACTGAAAATACCATTTTTATACGGAAAGGTTTGGCTTAAACTGGTGGACGACAATAGCATATACTACACATAAGTTTTCCATTTACATTCCTATTGAACCAACCCTTCTGACTATATGCATGATTTTGAAGAAGGCTTCTGGTGAAGCTCTAGGAGTGAGCTTTTGATTGACTTCTATGATCCTTTGGAGAGCCGGACAGGGTGATTTTGGAGATGGATTGTGAAGGAGCTCGCTTTGTTCAACATATATAACCTGCTCCACATCTGAAGAGACTTAAATAAGATGAAGCGCCTATTCTGAATTATATTGCTAGCCATATCCCATCTATTTTTTGTAAACATATATTATTATGGCTACACGGAATGTGCATACTCCAGCTAAAACTGACCAGATTTTGATCAAAATATTAGCAGCTGGATAGTCCGAAGCATTTGCAACTTGGATTAATTAGGTTTCTCACTATTCCTGGAAAGTTTAGTGATTCTAATGTGGCTCTCAAATGCCCTGGTGTGACCGAGGGTAGGGAACCATGTTGTATCTAAACGATCTCGAGCTACTGACTGGTGGAAATTTGAATGCTACCACCAAATACGAATAATGAAACAGTCTTTCTGAAACCACGTATACCATTCAAACCGACTCCCTTCAAACGTTCGCACACTAATGTAAATCGGACAACATATAGGGTTTGCTCTTTCTTTAAAAAGCCTTAATATCGACGTCTGTTGTCTATCCGAGACCCATATTCAAGACTCCGGTGATGCACTATAAATTCGCTTTCCATCTTTCGCTTTGAAAAGCTTCTTTCCCATGCATTTATCCGGTAACCCTGTGGCATCTTCGTCTGGTTTTGTTGGCGTTGTTGTCGCACTAAGCGCTAGAGCTGAGGAGGCACTGATCGACTGGATCTCCATCATCACTCGGTTATATGCTGTTAGATTAGAAAGCTCGATCAAAGTGCGAAGAAAGCGGTGTGAGACTCGATGTCTTTTCATCATCTCTGCCTGCGCTCCGACAGATTGCAATCCGGATGTGATAAAGCATCAGTTTTATCACCAGTTAGCTGTTCTTCTACAGATATTGTAGTACTAGCCGGAGACTTGAATGCTCAGATCGCTCATCTAGGCACAGAAGACAGTCATTTAGGTGGCCGATGGGACTTTTTGGTCACAAGTCAGATAACGGTAACAGTTTACTGAAACTTTGCACATACTACATAATGTTTCTGGTTAGCACTAACTATCGACACAGTCATTGCAGATGTACAACAACATGTTAGTAATGCAGAGGTTCGGCATCGTGTGTTCTAGCACAGTGACGATAATTCGATTGTTGTTACCACGCCTAAACGTTTACTCCGAAGACTCGGTCATGTACTATGAACGTCGTCCCAGAAAATCCCATTCTGTGCATTATTTATCGACACATGGACCTGTTAGAAAAAGCGGAGAGGTGGTCAGTGTATGACATATAATCGTGGTATGAAAGAAATCTGTACAGGACTATCTTCTGTTGCTCCTTCGAGATTCCTTGGTTTGAACCCTAAAGACGATGCAACACAGTGGCTAGAGATGTTATCAGTGATATGATGGAAAGAAAAGTCAAAATTCCACTGATTTACTTATTATGAGTTTTGTTCAAGATTACTTCCGTTTTGATTCAGTGTAATGATTACTCAATGTAGTATTTGTTTTATTGTCTCTTATGATATTTTATTCTGTATAATATACGCTATTCTTGTATTCCATTGACATGAACTATGGTCAGTATGTGATTTGTTGTAACTCCAAGTATTTTTCATATATCTGATTTCATCCTAATTATGAATCAAAATGGGTGTACATTCAATATATAAATTAGTGTATTTTCTACTAGAGTTGTCGTCGTCATTATAGTGTTTTGGGGTTGATGAATCTTCACTTATACCAATCTTTGTGTTATTACTTTCGCGTCGTGATAATTGTAGAGGTTCTTCATTTCGAGTATAAGTAATAAAAGTGTCCGACACAACAATCAGCGACGACCAGATACAAAAAGTAGCATCAAAAGAGCCAAGACAATAAGTATTCAAACGACAAATTATAACAATCAGATATAGTTCAAACTAGAAGCCAGTCATGATTCAGCTGTAATTTTTTTTAAGTCCTTCATAGAAAAAATGAATGTAACTTCTATAACTCAAAGAATTCTTTCTGGTTATATTTTTACCAACTGAACTGCTTTTCCCATCATTATTATCTCACTGACATACAGTAATTTCTGTTCGTTGTTGTTGTTCTTTCTTTTATTATATACACTTTACATTCTCTATCTCACAACAACCTCATTGTTATTGTGTGGCACATATATATATTCAGTGCCCCTTTTGTACCGATGTTTATGTTTACTATCAAGTTATTGCCATAGAATCAATTCGACGAATATAATCCATAATTAGAATTACTATGAATAGTTCTTTTTTGTAATATTTGAATTATATATGAAGCTAATTATTTATTCTGTAAAGATACATCCAATTGTAAAATGTTTTCTTCATTGATTTCCATATAATAATTTTATGACAATGGTATTTAAAGTTTATACACACATGCTGAGATTCGTTTCATCTTCTTATAAACAACAATTGGATAGAACTTAAAAAAAAGGAGGAAAACCTAGGACAAAATGGGTTGGAGAATGTTGGTTGGCGTCCAATGGTCCATTGGGGAGTAACAAGCTTAAATAAGTAAGTAATTATTAAATGATGAATAAAATTGAACATTTAATGTAATCATCTTTTTTTTTTAAAAAAAAACATTTTTCCCATGTTTAACCAAAGACATTTAGATTGAATATTTTTCTGTTTATTCAATGCGAAAAAAATTGTTTTAATTAAAATACAAAATTTGGGATAAATTTGATTGGTTTCAGTGGCGGTTTCGTGATAGTTCAATAATAAGTAATGCTAATTGAAGTATTTAAAGTAAATTCAAATGGAATATTCACTTTTCTGTCCAATCCAGGATCGTTAAGCTAATCATTTAATACCTGTTCGTAATCAATATATTATTTATTTCATAACAAATAATTGATTTTTTCGGCTATGAACGTATAAAACTTCGTGGTTTACTGGATTCAGTAATTTAGTGGATAAGGAGTTGGTATTCTAAGAGAAAGGTATCGAGTTCAAGATTGAATGTGCACATCACTTATTAGGATACTTGAACATCTAACTCAATAGTACAGAGTTGTGGAGATTATTAGGTTTTTGAATAAAATCATGAACCGATTGATGTTAGACCACCATTGAAAACCTGAAAGCACTAAACGGTCGTTTCGTGCTGTTGTGAGATTCCTCAGCAATGCACATCCAGTGCAGCTAATCTGTGCCGTGTAGAGATAGGTATCTACCAGAGAGCAATGGAAGATGGTCGCGCAATTTTGTGGATTGGTTGGTTGTACACTAACATTATTGGTGCGGGCTCAGTAGTCCAATAGGTTGTGTTCGCGCGTGAGACTGGAGGCCCTGACTTTGAATCCCGAGAGTGGGATCGTGGGTGTGCACTGCTTGAGGAGTCCCATATTAAGACGAAACGGCCGTCCTATGCTTCCAGGTTTTCAATCGGTTCTATGATTTCAATCAATAACAAAATAGTCATAAATATGACGAAATAATCATCCTAGGTTTCATTCCTAGTCACAATCCATGTATCACAAACGAATGATTAGGTTTTCATTGTATTATAACAAGTGTTTGAATTAGTTTTACTCAACAGATTTTCATCGGCATAGACATTATTTAACTATTTATATTAGATCAAAATTGATTTCCAAAATATTTATAAAGTGTGTGAGACAAGTTGTGGAAGGTAGAAAAAGTTCTAAAATAGTCTCATGTAAGTCAGTGAAAGTTTACCATCTTTATGTAAAACTTAATAAGCTAAAAATCTTCAAATCATGAGAACTTGTTGGAAACTCATGGGTTGATAAATTGTAAGTTCACTCATTAAGTTTTATTGGTGTATATTAATGATTGTTTATACATGAAACCTGTCCAACCTTGGTGGCTAAAAATAAACGTTACAAACTATATCCACTTCAAAACTTTTGAAATTTCTTTCGGTTTTCTAAAAATACATCTGACTGAATTGCACAGAAGAATTAAGAATGACGCGTTCAGTATTGCTTATTGTGAAACTTTGATAGCACAAGTTGAAATACCACAGCTGATAATAAGCCATGCGCCAGTTTCAAGGTTCTTGTTGTTTGCTTCAACTCACACAATTAAAATGCTTTTAGCATGCTAAATTAATGTTAAGTAAGATTCTGACCAATTGTAAGTAACATTCTTGATGTTAATTAGATAAACGATAGTTATTTCTTCGAAATTACAGTAAAAATACTAGAATATATGGTAAAATATGCTCCGTTAATAAAAACATCATATCTCAAATGAGTACTTTAATGATTCATTTCGTAGTAGACAATAGTATCCATAAATTAGCAAGCGAAGTCTAAATTCTATGGGAAATTTTATATGTAGTCAAATTATTCTAATTCATTATGACTTTTCAGAACACAATCCACTGATATGATTTAGGTTCTAGGTGAAACAGTTCATACACTGAATCCGATGATAATGGTTCTACATCTACGTCGTTCTGTCGGAAAAACAATTGTTTTATTTAAGAATCCCACAAAAGACGGGAAATTATTTTACTTATGTGAAGCAGTATTATAAGGATTTATTAAAATAGTCAGTACTACAAAGCACTTTAATTGGTCATTAATTGTATTGTTATCATCATCAAGTAGAATTTATGTACATATTTTTTTCAGATTTCGAAGGATAATCTACAAACAGGAAAGTAAAGCAAATCATTGGAATGGTGAAGATTTGAAGCTCGGGTGGATTTGTGAAAAACACTATATCGAACAAAATTGACCACCCCCCTCCTCATCTTTGCCTATACGAACATCAATTAATGGTCAAACTCCATTACACACCATCGCTTATATCACTCCATGTAGATAACCGTGAACACACATTCACACTGAAATCTTGAATAGAGTGTATACCAATAACATCAGAGAATGTTTTAAATGCTCGGTATTCAGGTCAATCAGAAATCAACAAACATGTCGAAATTGGTGCAATTTATCAACCATTCTGAAAAATCATGGACAACTGTAGAACCGATGATCAGATCAAATGGAGATATAATCAAAATAGAAAAGTAGATAATGACAGATTACAGGTAAACAATAATGAAACAAGATCGATGTGGACAGGACAGATTGTGAGTCATATGTTGAAAAACTCGAACACTTTACTTCTCCTTGAAATTTGTGCTGATAATGTTGTTCAGGACAACAGTGTTACCTCCACGACGAAACAATTTAGCTAAGAGAACGAAACTCCACCAAAAGTATTGAGGCTTATATAACTCTAATTTTTTATAGCAATAAAACTACCACATTCTCCCTTGTTTAAGTTTATTAAGAACAAAGTTTGCAAAAATTTAAAATTACACAAAGTTTCAAACTTTTAAATACAAAAAGTCATTGTAACCCATAATGTTTGCTATCAAAGTTTTTATTTATTTATTTATTTATTTATTTAAACACATAAACATCGGTGCAAAGAGGCACCGAGTAGATATGCGCCACTTAAATAATTCGATTTGTGTGGGGGCTGAGATACTCTTTGGGTACTCAAACCGAAGCAGCTGATTTTCATAGGAGTCACACTCAGAGCTTTTGACCAGAAAGTCTAGTCCACAAGGCAGTGGAGCAACGTTAGGTGATGCAGTCCCATTTTAGCCGGTGACCAATGATTGGTTCATATGCCAATGGTTCCTTCATGATACTGGAGCTCATGTGCACCGTTGATTTGGAATCAGGATTTTCCGACTTCACCAGGTAAACTCTCCATGTCCACCCACCCAGTTGAAGCGCCGTACATTCGCTTTTCGTCCTCTCAATTTCCTAGACAACACCTCCACCACGAGAAGGCAGTGAGTAGGACTTCCATAGCAGAGTAGAACTTTCCTGACTTGTAATAATTTTAATCATCCTTATATTCAAAGTTTAACTGAATCTATTCCATAGAAATACTTAACTAATAATTTGATTAAGATCAGAAGGGGTTTGTGGAGATTTTAGAAATTTTCACAGATTTAAATCATGAGTCAGTTGAAGCTAGACCACCATTGAAAACCTGGAAGCACTGGACGGCCGTTTCGTCCTAGTATGGGACTCCTCAGCAGTGCGCATCCACGATCCCGCACCACGCGGTGCTCGAACCCAGGACCTACTGGCTTCGCGTGCGAGCACTTAACCATTAGACCACTGAGCCGGCATCCAACGGTGCTTTCAGGTTTTCAATGGTGGTCTAGCTTCAACTGACTCATGATTTAAATCTGTGAATATTTGATTAAGAATAAAAAAATAATTCTTTTATAAAACTTACAATTTTTAGAATTTGTTTCATCTTTGTAATCATTAAGCTCTTCAAGACTAATAGCTGTTCGTTTTAATGATGAAAATGATCTTATCATATCGGTTTCAGGTAATTTATTTTGACAATGAAGATTATTAGCTAATGATTTTGAAAAAATTTGTTCTGATTTAGGATTTTTCAAATTTTGTCTTTCATCATTAGTTTTAATAGTTTTATTATTTATTTCATTATTTGGTGTTATATCATGAAATATTCCATTACCTTCATCATCATCATCAACATCATCATCATCATCTCGTAAACTATAATTTTGAAGAATATAACCATTAGGTAGTCCAGAGAATGATGGATTTACACTTGAAACAGGGGAATCAAATTGTCGATTATTTCCAACTCCAATACAATTACTAGTAACACCAAATGTTGGTAATATTCTGAATCCATGTGATGGTGATGAATGATACATTGTAGTTGGTGTTTGCATACATTTTCGTTGATTTTCATGATTAGAAATAGGTGATTTACATAAAGTAGTTGTAGGTGACCAACAAGCATTAGGATTTGCTATACAACCTCTTGAACGGTTAACACCTGTATTGTATATAGTGGGATAGTTACATGGAGTTGGGTAAACAACTGGAGATGTTGAACCACCAACCCAAGGAGCTGTAACAACCTTCATTTATGAAGTAGAATAATGTAGGAATTATTAGTTTATATTTCATAATTATTGCAAATTAAACTCATAGAATACAATAATTATAAATATATTCTTATGTAAAAAGTCAGTCAGCTTTCTGTTTTAATCAGTGTTTTCTAGACACACAGTGAAGAAATTTGATTACTATGAGAATACTCCTTATATCTTACTTACTTACTCACGCCTGTAACCTCTTCTCGATGAGCATTGGCGGTCCCCATGGCTCCTACATCCAACTATATTCTAAGCAATCATCTCCAGGTGTTTGCAGTTATGATTCATCCTTCTAATATCTGCTTCCAATTCTCGACATAGTGGGTTTTTTAGTCTTCTTCTTCTTTGTTTCCCTTCAGGATAACAAATTAGTGTTTGTTTCGTGATGCCGGATAGTGATTTCCTCAATGTGTGTCCTATTTATCTCGATCATTTTTTCTTAACTTCCCCTTCAAATTGAAGTAGGTTTGTTCTCTATCACAGAATGGTGTTGATGATGGTATCTAATCAACGGACATTGAATATCTTGTGTAAACAATTGTTTATAAGTATTTGTACTTTTTTGATGATGGTTGTAGTGATTCTCCGCTTGTAGCTGTTCTAGGGCTACTGACGATCCAAAGCCCAAAACAAAGGAGATCAGCATCCCTATCGCGTAGAAAACAACCTTGCTAAAAAAACACTAACCCCTTATATCTAATGAATAGTAAATAAGAATTTACATTAATTTGTAACTCTATTTTATCTCTAGTGACTGTAATCTTTTAATTTAACAAACAAGAAGGAAATATCAGTATTTTTTTTAACTATAATGTTTATTCAATTGAAATATGAATATTTTGGTATTTCAGATGAATTATGGTCTTATTTGTATAGTCTAAAATGAACCATTCTTATAAGTCAGTGTTTGTATCTATTTCAATTGTTAATTGATCATTTATTTATAAAAGAAAGTAGTATGGTTAGACAGAAACATTCGAGGGTCTTAGTCAGCAGTACTTCATATACAAATTCATAATGGGGCATAGTCTAAATGATCAGAATAGAAGCATTATTCGTTTGTTCAAACAATTTCTAGTTGTACTTCTCTATATTGACTGAAATTGTATTATTAACAAATAATAACCATCAATTTTTGACTATTGATAGCTATACAGCCCAGTAAGATTTACGGTTGTTCAGAAGTGATCATATTTAATATTGATTGATGTGGCTTAGTCACTATAGTAATTACTACGAAGTGCATACTGAATCACTCAACGGAACCATAGTAGCTTTACTTCATAAGGATTTATTTAAACTTGAATGTCAAATACTTAGTTAAATTTTCAATGGGATCATGAATTAATATGACAGACTAGTACGTATTATGGTGTGACCCATTTCTAACCGTTCCATGTCTGATTATAAATTTATTAGTATAGGGGTTGTGGAGATTATTAAGTTGTTGATTGAGACCATGAAACGATTGATGTTAGGCCACCATTCGAAACCTGGAAGCATAGGACGGCCGTTTCGTCTTAGTATGGAACTCCTCAGCACTGCGCATACACGATCCCGCTCTCGGGCTTCAAACTCTGGGCCTTCACTTAACCAAATGGACCACTGAGCCGACATCCAATGGTGTTAGTGTCTAACATCAACCAATCCACGAAATCGCGCGACCATCTTCGATCGTACTGAGGTAGATACCTGTCTCTAACCAACACGGATTAGCTCCACTGGTCACGGCTTCTCACTAGAACTCCCAGAATTCCCTCACAAAGCTAGTCATTAGTGAGCACATGTTAATTACCAGTAAAGGGGTTGCGAAGATTATTAAGTTTTTGGTTGAGATCATGAACCGATTGATTTTATTTATTATTTATGTTATATGAATGGATGTCTATAACTGTCTATAACACTATTCTTCGCCTATTTTCATACATGTTCTCCTATTGATTATCCACTACTAACTTCAAAGATATTTTAGTTGTGTTCACCGAGTGTGTTCTTAACATTTACACTCTAATTAGTTATTTATAGTTCCCATACTATTCACTTTGTTTAAAGAATAAGTTACCTATTAATAATTAAGTTTTTACAGCTCCTTCTGTCTACATCTATTCTCTTTCCATATTCACTCATTCATTTTGTCCTCTCATCCAAGTTTCTGAAATACATATATATCTAAAATTCAACTCATAAGTGACTATTTATTTCTACGTTTTACTAACGTGATTAGTCAACTGAAGTGATACAAAGTTAAATAGTTTACATTATTTCACTATTGTAACAGGCGTAAGTAAGTAAGTAATTTCACGATTGTCAACAATCGGCACAGCTTAGTCATTTTTTAGATTCTATTCTGACTAACTAATGTAATTTATTTGTATTGATTATTTGAATCTTCACGTTGATGTTTAGTACTGCAATTGATCAGTTTCTTTTTGACATGTGTGTATTTCATGACGACTGCCTCGATATTGTGAATACTTCACAAGCGTTCTAGACAGAGATGGATGATGGCTAGCATATGAATCCAAAATGCTCGTTTCATCCTATTTGAGCACATTCAGCTGACGAGTCTCAAGTAGGATGAAACGCGCGTCTTGATTACCACTGCTAGCCAATATCCATCTAACTACCAAACGTTTCTGTTTATAAACTAATCTAATTGCTTCAAATTATATGAAAGTGATTAACTGAGACTGTCTCTTGTTTTATATTAACTGACTTTATCCTAAGCATTCCATAATTCAAACAAAATTATTCAACTGATGTCGAATCACTTGTATTACTATCATTGTCATTATTATCGGGGTAGTGTATTATTGAATAGTATTTTTAAATGACCTCATTAGTTATATGAAATTCATGGACTTGAATGTTTTTCATTAAGAAATGAGAACATAGATGAACTATTGATTTTTCGAAAAGAAAACATTGTTGACATATATTTCATTTTTGGACAAATCGTTAAGCCGGTTCATTTGAGGCAGAATCTTCATCAATATCATTAATAGTAACACAAATATAGATACAAAAATTACAAGTTATAAACTTACCTCAGTGAAAAATCCGTTGAAACCATTCAAATTATTTTGAGTTGGACTCAATGGTTTACCTGTTCACAGGGGAAAAAGATAGAAATTCAGGATGAATTATGAACGGATTTACTTTTATGGTCCTTTTATTAACTTAAACTTCACTATAAATAATAAGGTGTTATCTAAGTTTTCTACAATGATGAACATTTGATTTAAGTATTTCTACAATTTCTCCTATTCACAACAGGTTCGCAAACAAACTTGCAATTTTTTTTCAGAAAAATCATGCACAAACATAAGAACAAAAATCAAAACAATGGGAGACACAACCAAAACAAAGAAATAAACAACGACAAATTTAAGGTCAATAAGAACCAATCAACGTCGAGGTGCACAGAACTAGCTTTGGGACACATATGGAGAAATTCAAACACTTCACTTCTATCTGAAGTTTGTGCTGATGATGTCGTTCAGAAGAACGATGAAAGCTCCACGACCAAACCATCCAGCTCAGAGAACAAAACTCCACCAAAATCATCCACCTGAGCTACAAATTTTCTCCACCATCTCAAAACTTGCGATTCTCAAGGACTTTTGAGTTACATACTTCGTAACCATCATTACAATGGTTCATTGAATGTAAATATAAAAAGTATATGCCCAAACACTCTTAAAATACCGTACTTTTATTCTAGGTAGTGCTTGTACAAAGGATAAATTAAGGTTGGAATTTGTTCAGTGACGATTTACACTACACATTCTTGGGAATGACTGTATACTAAGCGACACCTTCTGTTGTCACTCGCTTGAATTTATGAATTTATGACGTATTTGTGTTAATAATTAGGATTAAGATTAAGAGGAATTTTCCTGTTAGATCTTTATAACACTTTCTAGAAGGTCTATGGTTAAAAATTAGTAAGATCTTCACTTTTGCAATCTCCAGGCATGTGATAACTAGTGAGGTGTAATAACCCCAAAACCACTAAATAACAACCAATTTCATTTGTACTTCATTTTCACCTCTTACATAATCCTATCGATATGTTTTTAGTTTTGATCATGTAAGGTATTATGAAATGATTTATTATTACCGCTAGGATTAAATAATTCTAATATCTCTTCATTATAATTACTGATAACTATAACTTAACCTATTCTACTCTGAATTATAGAATATTTCTAACATGTAAATACATGTCAGTCTTAATTGTGTTTAGTCAAATATTATACGTCTTGTTCTCTTTATTACGATTTTTGGTTCTATTTTGAACATCCATCTTAACTTTATTCATGAGATTATGACAAACCTTTGTGTTTTTTAATTATATTACATTGAAACCAGAGTAGAAGATATTCGTAAACTACTAGTATTTGACCACATATGCCTTAGAAATCTTGCTCACATCTGCTGGGATCATCGGGTAAGTATTAGTGAAGTTAGACACAGGGTATTAGGGAATCATTGTAAGTCAGTTGATGAGATTGTGAATCTATATCGACTGAGATGGTTGAGCCACATGTTACGTATACATGAACACCGATTACCATGACGCGCAATGCTGGCTAGTGTTGGGGATGGTTGGAAGAAAGTTAGGGGCGGCCAAACTATAACGTGGCATGAGTGCTTGAAGTCACTAACTTCTAGTCTTAGGCATGTTGGGAGATGCAGACTACTTGGTTGGGGTCCGCGTGACTGTCGTAACCGATGGTTGAAGACTGTTGGTGACATGGCTCAGAATCGATCACAATGTCGTAGCTGTATACACTCGCTGTCTTCCCTTAAACTAAGAGATTAAAATCGCTTCATATCTTTTTTTCTACGAACTAATTCTTTCTTCCTGCACTATATCCTCATCGCAATCTTTCTTTTACATATTACCATCATTGAACTAACTCCTTCTATGAATCCGGTGTTTATCTTGTCGTGCTAATGAGGTATGACAACTTGGACCGATGCACATATGTGCCTGGTCCTACGTTGTAGCTGACTGACTAAAGACTGAATATCAGAAAGGGGATTTTGTGAACATTATAGTAATTTAATAGTTGAGATTATGAGTCCATTGAAGCTAGATCACCATGGAAAATCTGGAAGTACTGGACGGCCATTTCATCCTATTGTATGACATTTATTTGAGGCTATTTATAACTGATAAGAAGCCTAAAAAAAAACAGACTAATCTCATTTTATTCTTCAAATTTAGGTGTTCTTGATTTGTTACATTTTTTCAAAGGATCAAGTTGTTATTCACAAACAAAAAAACCAACAACAACTATGTTTGGTATTTGATTGTAATTATTATAGGACATAAAGAACACACTATACATAGATCAATTTGAATATATATCTTGTTTATACAAAGAAACAATTCCTAACCAATTTATTATTGTGGGAATGAAAATAATGATCTGTATACAAAAATTGTAAAATTGTTTGCTGTCATTTATGATATTTTGTAAATAGTATTGGTAATTATATGTATTTTCTTTTAAAATCTAACCTATATTTCCCATAGATCCTATTTCAAGTAATTAAATATGGACGAGAGAAGAAGGAGAGAGGAGGAGGAAAATTACAATTTTCTGAATACAAAGTTGATAATTGTCAGTTAGATTAGTTATTTAATAATGATTAAATATAATGTGCATAGTTTTCATGAATCAATAATATAAATGATGCTTTTAATTGGATCTTTCCCATTATTTGGTCAGATTTATAAGTTTTATCATTTTAGAAACGTTTCTAATAAAGCACCATAACAATTATTAACATCATAACAATAATATTAGTTCTAAAAATGGATTTATTGTCTAGTCATATCAATGGAGAAGAAAACAAGGATAAAGATACCCACTGTCCCTAAGAAGGTAGTGTTGATAAAATTACAATCCATAAATGACGCCACTGAGGAAATCGTGACTCAGAAACTAAGAACAACTGTACAAAAAACATTTAATTCAACTAGATTAAATGCCATCTTCTGTAACCACCCAAAAATAAGGACGGCCAATAAAGACAGACTGCCTGAATTCGCCAAATCCATGTGTATCTATCGGTTCAACTGCTCCTGTGGAGCTAGTTATATAGGGCGTACAATTCGGCAAGTTCATCATCGTATTACAGAACATCATCCGTCATGGTTAAGCGAAGGACAAGTAAAAGTGATTAAAAGTTCTATTCTCTCTCACTTGGTTGACACAGGTCATCAAGTTGAATTGAATAAAGCTTTTAAGGTTATCTACAATATCCCATTAAATTTGCCACATGGTTTACGAGTGCTCCTTTTGCACATTGTGGAAGCCATCGCAATCCATGTTCACAAACCTAACCTTTGCATTCAAAAGAGAGTTGTACAACCACTTTCGCTGCCCTGGCCATCAGTATAAGATTTCTATTCTCTGAAGAAGTGACTTACACTAAGTCACGAAACGTCAGAAAATCCAATTTTCTACTCATTGGGATATTACAAATATATTATTTTTATTTATAACAATCAACCCAATGCTCAATTTATTCGAAATTATCAAATCAAACCTTGGTAATGACACCTATAGTATAAGATTTCCTTCAAAAAAACTATCTTTTATACTTCTTCCACTTGTTTTTTTTTGTAATTTTGTTTCTGTTGCCTTTGAAGTTTATAACTTCTCAACATTCATTTCTTGATTCTTACGTAACTACTTTTCTTATCTTTGTTAAAGTTACCTAAACTAAATGATAAGTTAACATAACTGTAGGGCTTAGTACAATATCATGCCTACACGAGTTATTCTGGCTTTTAGACAAACTAGTTAATTTATTCTTCTTCAGCTATTATCCACATAGTTTGGCCTTGTCAATCATCCTCTCATAACCTTGACTGTTTTTTGCGTGAGCGTATATGTGTGTATCAATTACACCATTCATTACATCTCTTTGGCTTACTTTATATCTGAATACAATAATAAGTCATGCTTTGTCAAATGGGCTAGGTACACTTGCCTTCTCCACTTCGCTTTCCCACTCTTCATCTTAATGTCTGTCCAAGTAAACAAGTGTATGAAATAAACTCAACCAACCTAATCCATATTTAGCATTTTATTAACACCGTCTAGGTGTAATATATGGGATGAAGAGGAAGATTTATGTTCATAACCCAGTCATTTCAGTCGTCTAATTGGGAGTGAAATCTCGAGCCACTGAATAATCAACTGAAGTTAAAAGTGGATATAACTACTGTTGCTTTAATTGATTTTTACATAAAATTTGGTTACTGGTATATTGGTTTGATCATTGATAGTGTGTTGTTTACATTGAGTAATGGGGAAAGGAAAAGTGAAATAGGTTTGTTACAAATATTAATCACACTAGTAATCGAGTTATTCTATTAAGATTTTAAATTTAAACTATCTACATCTTTCTTGTTAAGTGGATGCTAACCTTAGAATAAGTAAAAGTGAGCTATCTCACATTTTTTATAATATACACTAACCATAATTTCATTTATGAGTGTTGATTTGCTAAACGAAAATGTGTAAATGAGGGGAACACATCCAGCTCGGAAATATAATCATAGTCGGTAAATAATTTATTACTATTTTTTAGGGTCAAAAGATATAGAATGCAGGTTAGCGATGAAACCGGTTTTGACATTCACACATTGTTCATTTGAAGATACCTATAAACAACATCAACCGAAAAAGGAGTTAATTACTATATTTATGTTATCAGGAGGTTAGTTTTTGAGTTTATTTAAACCTCTTTAAATAGTATATAACATTTTGTTATAGTAAGCATGTTATCTGTGATAAGGTTCATATCATAAATGTAACATTATCATTAGAATGTGGGTTTACTGCAATCTCCACAAATCCTCATTCTGATAAAAATCATCACGTGCTCACTAGTGACTTGTTTTAAGATGGATTTCCTGGAGTTCTAGTGAGAATCTGTGACTAGTGGAATACAGTCCGTGTAGAGTGTGACACACTTGTTCACCTTAGACGGTGAATGGAGGGTTGAGCAAGATCATGGATCGATTGAAGTTTTACATCAACACCGTTGGATGCCAGCCGGTTCAGTGGTCTGGAGGTTAGGCGTTCGCTCATGAGACTGAAAGTCCCGGGTTCGTGTCCCATGTGCGGGATTGTGGATGTGGACTACTGAGGAGTCCCCTACTAGGATGAAATGGCCGTCCACTGCTTTCAAGTTTCCCATGGTGGTCTAAATTGAATCATGGAGAGATTATTTTATGGATGAACCAATCAGATATAAAACAACAAGTCACGAATTTCGGCTCGAAATTCATCTATACATTTGGCTAAATAGTGTTCTCGCATTATAGCTGGTGCTAGTTCTTGACCTTAAATTCAATTTTTAACCCTGACCATCAACTGTAAATGAGAATTCTAACTGCTTCATAACTCTAATTTAGTCCCAATCTGTAGGTATCCACTCTTAAGTTCATTTCAGCGTCGATCAAAGGTCGTCCATAAATTATAGTTTCACTGAATCATGAAATCAAGTATTAAGATATATTATCAGGTAGTAGATAAGATTTCAAATGTTCTGTTAAATGGGTAAACGTACAGTCGTTGTTTGAAAGTGCAAAATATAGAAAACAGCATTCACTCGTTTCATTTTAGTGTCAAACATTAACTTTATTTCACCTCTCTTACACTTAAGTTTGTTTACATTTAATTTTGTCAAGCCAGTCAATTAACTTATTTAACAGACAGTATTGTTCAAACAGTAACAATTCTATACCTTGTTATTATTATCATGTTCAGTATGAACATGTAGGCTTGATCATACGTGATCACCTACGCATATATTACTTTTTTCTGTTTAAATGTTAGTTTCTTAAATAGCTTGATGAATCATTTGCTTTCTCATAAATATGCGCTTGAATCTTATTAACTGATTTAAATCTTCATTTGATTGTTTATTCAACTTTTAATTCGCCTCTGTATTCGGTAGCGTACATTAACATTTCTGCTCGAATTAGGTAATGTACTTATGTCCATCAAAGTTGTCGTGTAGTCTTAATTTAAATGACTTTGGTTTCATGTCTGAACTTCAAGAGACAGCCCACTCAAGCTTCTACCGAATAATTATTATTCACTTGAGAGATTAGTAACTAAGAGATAACTTATATAATACCAACTCAAGTGATAATTCAACTATCAGATTCTATTAATATTCTACTGCTTAATATACAGTGTTACAGCGTACAACTCTTACAATCCACTAAATTGGAAAATGTTTCTGGTAATTTCAAACTAATGGAAAGTTTCAGATGACAAAAAAGTAACTATCAGCCTGTTTGTAACCCCTGATACCTCTACGTAATACTTATTAATGGTTAATTATAAATCTTTGTCGGGACAGATCCCGGTGAACTCAAGGAAGCTCCAAGAATCTCTGGAAGAGCCGAAAGCATTCTATTCAACCATCGTTTGTAAGAGCATTCCAGAATTTCGACATGTAGCTCCTCGATTGGATAAATGCTGAAAATCACTGCATAAGCATTCGATGTCTGTAATGATAACTTCGTAGCAAAACATTTCATCAAGTAAAAATTTCAGTAAAGTTCAATCGGAAATCACTTTAAGAAGAAATCGCTTTAAGAAAAAATCGCTTCTATTAGTTTTCCTCGTCTTTCCTTTCTTTTCTATATCGTTTGTTTGCCTTTTGAATTCACTTACATTTTACAGGCTATTTTAGTTTCATTTAATTTCAGTTTTTTCCGTTTTTGTTCTTCGTTCAATTCACCATAAAGGTTTGCGATATGTTCGTTTTTTTCCCTTACATAATAATGACAAATATTTTGTGGTTTCTTTTCCTACCTGGTACTTTGTGTTAAGAACATGGATTTGAGGTAGTTGTAGTGTCGGTTATTATGTTAAGCCCATATACCTTATTCTAGCTTTCGGATAGCCCATTCTATTCATTCTACTTGAGTCACATTTTGACCTTGTTAATTATCAATCTTGACTGTTTTTATATGAGCGCATATGTGTGTGTATTCTTCTTATCCTATTCATCGCATGTCTGTAGCTTATTTTTGTGTGACTATAAATATTGATTGGCGGTTGACCAAATGGAGTTGGTTTACCCGCCATCTCCACTGTGCGTTGTTTTGCTTCGCTCTATTCCATTCGCTTCTCTGATATGTTATCTGGATCAAAGATTGTATGAAATATACGTATTCGAAATTCATTCTCATATTTGACTTATATAATTCCGTTATTGACTAATGTGATTTAAGTCGATAATTATATACGAGGATAGGTGACATATATATTTCAACAGCAATTATTATTACGATCTACTTGGAGTTAGATCCCGGGCCACCAAATATTTTTCTTTTTATTTAGATGATTTTATTGTTCTTTTTGCACACTTTAAGTGCACCGTATAATCATTATGATCATTTTTAATATTTGATTACTTAATAAATTCATACATTTAAACTAGAATATTTCAAAATTTATTTTGAAGGTAGGTTAAATCATGAATTCATATTAGTCAGATCAACATTGGAAATTAAGAAACATTTCAGACTGTCAGAACCCGTGACTAATGGAGTTCAACTATATCAAGTATGAGATAGTTACCTACCATAGACAATGGAAGATCGATTCATACGATACTAAGAATCGAGACATTTACACCATTGGATGCCTGTTTAGTAGTCTAAAGGTTAAGTGTTTGTGCGCCAGACTGACGACCCTAGGTTCATGTCCTGCTTGAGTTGTGAATAAGCATTTTTGTGAACTTTCGTACTAGGACAAAACAGCTGCTCAATGCTTCATAGTTTTCTATTGTGGTTCAGTTGTTATCATACTATGTTAATTGGATAATCTCCGTTAACCTCTATATTCTAGTTATTTTAGGCAATTAAGAAATGTATGTTACCCTGATTATGATTTCTAATAAAGCATAATATCAAGTAATAATGAATGAGTCAACGGTTTTCTATAACGTAACTCATGACCTGTTTGCACATTGTTAGTTCAATAAATATACGAAGTAAGGTACTAGTGTTGATAATTACGAAAACAAATAAGCAAACGAAATCTATAAAGCACTGAAAACCGTTCATGAAGATAACGCATTGATGAAAAAAACTTCTTTTTTGAATAAATCAAGCGTTTCATTAAAGGCCATGAGAACATTAAACATTATGTAATTTCAAGATAAGTGTTAACCTTCAGTGCCCCCCGAAAAACAGAACACGTGAATCATCCTATGATTATCATTTGCTGATTCATTTTCGGGTAAGTGCTATGGAAATGAGTTTGAAAAAACACCATTTGTTTATATTATTTCACCAATACATCTTATTTTGAAAACGACGATACAGCTGATAGGCCTCACCTCAAGGGGGCTTTCCGTGTTGTTCATAACAATTAAAACGATTGTAAGACAAGTGTATTACTGCAAGTTGGGATTATTTTAAAGAAGAGTCTTCTGTATAATATGGTCTTATGGTCACTGTTTGTGTGTTTGTTGGGCGAAATATTATTAAAAAGCAACATTTTTGAAAAACCTACTAGAGTCAGATAAATAAACTGGCATCACCCACCTATTGTCCTAATTAAATTATTTACTTGGCAGACACCTAACATAAGAATTAGTCCTGTGTACTATTGGAGAGTAAAAACAATGCCTGTTTTCCTAACTGGTTTGGGTATAGGTGAAATATGGTACATGTAATCAGTTGTAACTGAAAAGACAATGCCTCACATGATCATGGTGAGTAAAATAATTGTCTCATACATGACTCAGGTTTATATTATTTTTATCAACTAACATACACCTTAGGTCCATAGCTTCCTGAAAACTATATTCAACCACTAAGACTGATCAAACATGACAGTGGTTGCCATTAAGTGATCAATCAACTATACTGTAATGTGTTTTGGGTCTAGGTCTGACAGATATATCCCTTAGTTATTTAACTATTATGCGCTTAGGAGATCAATATTTCAAGATATATATATATATACGGTGAAACTGAACTATCTCCAGGACACTATACTGACAAAAATAGGGAACGTGATTTTTTTTATGCGACCAACACTCACAAAGTTGCTACATATTAGTTAAGATAAATTTAATAAATTAATTGAGCTTACCCACAGTAAAACCTTCATTTGCTTTCGAATCAGGACCATCACATGCTAAACTTTGTTCTAATGGAATATTTCGTATTAATAGACGTCTATAGCGTACAAGTAATAGGAGAACAATTGTTGTAAGCAATAGTAAAACAAATACAGTTGATAAAATAACAACCATTGTTTTATCGGATATTCTTGCATGCCCTGCTGATGTCCATGTTCCAACTTTAACATCGGATTCAGAATCATGCTCATTTGATGGAAATAAATATTGTTGTGTTTCTGTTCTTCCAGTCTGTCGATATTCTTTAGCATTAATTCTATTTGAGTATAATATTCCATTTGAGATATCTCCATTTGATCCTACTTGACGAGCCACACGAATAACCAGAGTTGTGTTTAAACTGTCAGGTTTTCCTAAATCATAGGCTAATATACGTAGCATATAAGCTCTAGGACCATCAACATTTAACGGTGGTAGATTCTCGCGAAGATAACAAATGCCTGCAGTTCGATCTACAGCGAACGGATAGTCAACATTTGAAGATTTACTTTCATGGTTCATTTGTGAATTCGTATCTGTAGTATTTCTATGATTTACTTGACTATTCCTTTGAACAGATTCTGCGAAATTCCATGAACCTAGGTCATCTTCTACCTGAAGTAATTTGTATTCAATCGTACCATTTTCACCTAAATCTGGATCGGTCGCACGTATTGTAAATATCGTATTTCCAGCAATTAGCTGATCTGGGCTTAGCATAAACTCTACATGATTCAATGGACTGAGTATTCTAGGTGGATTATCATTGTGGTCTAACACAGTTATTAGAACTGTTGCCGTTGCTGTGAATTGAATGACTTCATTTGTTGTTTGTCTTTGGTATCCAGCTATTTTAGTCGGTATGGACCTAGGGTTATCCAACGCTAGAACTACAAATTCATAGTGTGCACGTCTTTCACGATCTAGTCTTCCCTTTAGGTGAATAATCCCACTTCTTGGATCAATTTGGAAATGAGTGGTAATCTCAAGTGCTTCATCATAAAGATTCTGATTGTTGGAGGACTTTGTAACTTGTTCTGCAAAATTTCCATCATTTATTGGTTCTTTAATTCGATTATTAATTCCAACTGCTAGACGATAAGAAATACGTGCAGCTTCTTCTTGATCAGCATCAACAGCCCATACTTGTCCAACTTTAACAAGATCTAATCCTTCTTCAACTTCAAAATGATAATTGGCTTCTTGAAAAATCGGAGGAGAATCATTCAAATCATCAATAATTATACGAACATTAGCAGTTCCTGTTAATCTCAATGAATCATCACATTGTTGATCATTAGTTCCATTTGATGATGTACAATCTATTGCATATACCTGAAATACTAATTCATTTATAGTTTCACGATCAAATGGTTGAATAGCATAAATCATTCCACTCAATTTATCTATTTGTATTGAATCACTTGGATTAGAAATTAATTTATAATTAATATTTCCATGAATTCCTTCATCTTTATCAGTTGCATGTACTATTCCAATAAGATAATGTTCAATATTAGATAAATGAATAGTATGTTCTAATTTGATTTTTGGATAATTTTCTGGTAAATGAAATGTATATTCATTATAATCAAATATAGGTGAATTATCATTTATATCTTCTATTTCAATTAATATATCCGATTGTGATGTTAATGAACCACCTGGTAATTCATTATGTTGATTATCAATACAAATAATTGAAAATTTTATAAATGATGGTTGTATATCACTAAATTCTCTATCTAATGAAGAAATTGACATTAATTTATATATTTTTGTTAATGGTTTATTATGATTATTCCATTCAATGAAATGAGATTTTAAATCAATATTATTATTATTATTATTATTATTATATAAATTGTTACTAGGCCAATATAATGAAAAATCATTAAATCGATCTAAATGATTATTGATTTCTTCTAATAAAAATCGACTATCATTTGTTTTACATATAATATCAGATTGTATTAATGTTGAATCTTGATCAATCACAGTAATTTGTGCTATAATTGATCTTTCTAAATTTTCAGTTATTTTACCCCATATATGTCGTCTATCTGTATGATATATATTTAATTGATTTATTGTAGATTGTGTAGGTTTAAGATAAGATATAAATATTTCTGGTGGATGATCATTTACATCAATAATATGAATAATTACTGGTACTTTAGTTACTAATGGAGTTATACCATTATCATATGCTTCTATAAAAAAATGTAATTGATCATTATTAGATAGTAAGTCATTATGATTATTATTATTATTTAATTGATGATTTAATGGAAAATTAGATCCTAATTTTGATCCGATAATCATTTGATTATGTCGAGCAATTGAAATAGCTTTCGATGTAGCTTGTTGAATTTTCTCTTTGGATTGACGTTTAATAATAAGTCGACCATAAACAGTACTATTATAAAAAGTTTCTTGTAGATTTATTAAATCATTTGATTTCTCATATGGATATTCTATAGAAAATAATTCTGCAGCAATTAATTGACTATCGGTTAAACTAATTCTATCTCTTTGACCAGTAATTTCATTTTGATTTATATTATGATCCATTTGACCAGGGATACGAAATTTTATAATACCATTCTCTTTTGTATTATCTCTATCTCTTGCAGAAAATTCAAATATTATATGACCACCAGGATCATTTTCTGATATTTTTCCGGTATAAAATTCTTGATTAAATTCTGGTGAATGATCATTAATATCTTCAATCATTAATCGAATAGGAAGTTTACCTATTCTTGATGGTGAACCACCATCATAAGCAACTAAAATAAAATGATATTCACTTCTTTGTTCTTTATCTAATTCACCATTATTTATAGTATCTGTTGTTCCACCATTATTTCTAATTGGTACTAACCATAATCGATTCGATTTATGATCTTGAAATAATCCAACTTGTTGAAATTCTTTATGAATTCGATAATTTAAATCATTATTTATTAATGGACCTACTTCAAGTCGAAAATGTAAAGCATCTTCACCTTCTAATCTATAACCTTTAATACTATTTACTCCTTGATCTGGATCTATAGCTGTTGGTAATAAAATTCTTACTGGTTTATACTCAATTCTATGTTTTATATTTGATATATCATCTTTTTTATCAATTAAATTTGATGTTTCTGGTACACTAATAACAAATTCATTTGTTTTACTATCTAAATTAGTTTGAATCTCTTTAAAACTTGGTGCATGATCATTTATATCTTCTAATATGATTGTAATAAAATCAAATGATGGATTTGCTGATGAACCATGTATAATTGATAATTTTATTATACAATCATTATTATCAATATTATTATTATTATTATTATTATTGATTTGTAAATTATAATTGGATCCAAGATTTAAATTATATTCTGGAAATTCAATTCCACCATTTGCAATAGATACAGCTGTTTCTGGTAATTTTTGATTATTTGGACATAATAAATCACGATCTGGTGATATTTTTATATATAAACTATATTTATGATTATCTATAGCAAACCAATTAGCACCTTGCATTACTGAATTACCAATCGCTAATAAATAATCAATATTTTTCTCATTTTTTTTATTTTTTTGTTCATAATATTCCATTGGTGAATAATTTTGTCCATATAAAAAATCAATTATATTTGGTATAATTACAGTACCAATTGGTGTATTCTCTTTAATACGTATAATACGTGTTGGTTGAGCATTAATATTATACATTAATTGATTTGAATGATGAATTGTAAATAGAATGGTTAGAATAAATAATATATAAATATAGTGATAAAAATCAATCCAAATTGATAGTTGCATTATATATAGTTGGAAGTTTTTGGTGGAGTTGAAAGTGGATTCTCTGCAATAACCTCCTTTTCTCTCACACTCTCTCTCTCTCGTTCTCTTTGTGTGTGTGTGTGTGTGTGTGTGTGTGTGGTATTCAGATTACTTAATGGCTAAACATTTTTTTAAAGACTGAAATAAAAAAATTCGAAAAATTCGATTTAGTTACTAAAATTAATTTAAAGTAATATTGAATTACGTAATAATGATATCTATCTATCTATCGCAAGACATCTCCTTGACACAGGACACGAAGTCGATATACTGAAGTTCTTCAAGGTGATTAACAAACAATCAAATTCAAACCTTTTGAAATTTGTCGAACTGATAGCAATCAAACGTTTAAAACCAGATCTTTGTATACAAAAAGAAACAGTAATAAATCTTTCTTTGCCTTGGCAACATTACCCCCCCCCTTTTATTGATTTATTTATTACGTTATTCATTATTCCAAGTCTTTCTGAATTTTTAAAGTTACATCATTCATAAATGATCAATTTCAATTCATATCTCTCTTTATTACCATTAATCTATTTTCAGTAATTTCATTGCATAATAATCTAATGTGTTTTAATTCCATGATTTCTAATCACTATTTCAATGTTCTGGAACCTTCCCTCCCAAACTCTATATATTCGAAACAAAAATTTTATGACCTCATTAACTCTAACGAAATCTTTGCTACATCATGTTACATATATTCATCCTTCATCGCCCTTTATTGTATAAGTATGCCAAAATCTATAATAATGTTGAATTTCAAATATTTTAGGTTGTAAGCAGCTGATGAGAACCTAACGAAATAAAATGAATTCATATTATTCTGCATCAATCTTTGTTCTTGCTTTCTTTAAATTAATTTTTACAATTCAATAAGTAATATGAATATCAGGGGGAAAACATTATAATCTATTTTAGAAAAAAACATCATCCGCCAATAAACACAGTTTTATTATAACAGAGTTCGGGTTGTCTGTTTAGATCATCCTGTTCGATGAATTGAGATCAAGTAGAAAGATTAATAATTTTGTGAAAGATTGCTCTATATTGGCTGTATGTCAATTAAACGAGTTAAAATGGAGTTATTAATTGTTTTGACTACACCTTTGGTTAACCACACTGAGAAGTGATCACGAGCCTGAATGTACAAATTCCTAGAATATCTGCCAATATAACTTGCTCCACAGAAGTAGATGAATTGATAGATAAGTATTTCAAAAAGACAAAATGGGTCTTATATTCTTTTGAACTACAGTAATTCATGACTAAGTTATATATACATTTCCAGTAATAATACTTGTATTACTTCTCCATATGGATGTAGTCTATCACGCGACTTTGTATACTCGAATATATGATCGAATTTGTAACTGTACTATTATTCCTCTCACCCTATCTGACGCATATTTATTCTGATAGCGAATCTTATGGTTTCACTTAATATATAAGCCAGTTCATGTCAACATTACATATGAGTTATTAATTAATCTAATAGATGTTACATTCAAATTGAAACTTTATGAAGTCGAGAATTTAGTTCATAGTGAAAACATTGAGATTTTAACTATAGATTAATTATCATTCATATACTTAAATTCGTTCCTATTCACGATATAATTTTCTCAATTTCACTTAAAAGTCTCGAATAGCTTGTTCATTATGATTTATAAGTCATCAAGTATGAATCCAAAACTAAATAACTATCCAGTACTCCCTAGTAATAACGCACAACTCATCAGTTAATATTTGTTGGTAAAAAAAAACTAGGTTATTTATCGAAAATGTTTTGAATACACAAATCTAATTTCATAAATCTCATATTTACAACCAAACTCACAAACTTTATATGCAAAGATGGATAGTGGCTACCAATGGAATCCAAGATGCTCATTTCGTCCTATTTGGGACACATTAATTTGATGTAACTGCATCTCAGAGTTGATATTCGGGTTATCCATTTAGCTTCTGAGTCCTGATAGCCACTACTAGTCACTATTCATCTTTGTTTATAATACTTGTGAATTGAAGCACTATCAAAGGAATACACACAGAATGCTCACATACCAATAAAAGAATGATCAATTACTGTCCTAAACATTAATGGTAAGATTCAAATAAAACAATACCAAATGAATTTAAAATAACAAACTGATTTTCAATAAGCACACTAAAATAAACATTCTTTAATACAGTACAATCCTCACAATTCGGTTTATTTTTAACGGTTACGATCATGAGTCAATTTATGTTAGACCAGCATGGAAAACCTGAAGGCACTGAAAAGCAATGACCAGTGTAATTCAACCAGGTCTGTTGTGAGATATTAACTCACTGAACACAATGATGGGTGTGCCACTGAATTTCGTAGATTAGTTGAAGTTAGATATTAACACTCTTGGATGCTGACCGGCTCAGTGATCTAATGATTAAGTGTTCTCGTGTGAGGCCAATAGGTTCAGGGTTCGAATCTCGCAATACGAGATCGTAGATGAGCACTGCTGAGGAGTTCCACCATTGGACAAAGTGGCGGTCCAGTGCTTTCGGATTTTCCATGGTGATCTAGCTTCAATTGAATCATGATCTCAACCATTGAAATTACTATAAAATCCACAAAAAATGTTTTGTTCATTGATTTACATATAAGTTTATGACAATGGTATATGAAGTTTATACGCATATGCTGAATGATTTTTCCATGTTTAGCCATGTTTAACTTATGGAGTTAGAATACGCAGATGATAAAGTTTTGTTTGGTAAAGACACTGATAAAATGCCGATTGAAATCATGAACCGATTGATGTTAGACCATCATGAAAAACTTAAAAGCACTGAATACCTATTTCATCCTAGTATGGGACTCCTCACTAATGCGCATTTACGACCTTGTCTCGCAAGACTCGGACCCAGGGACTTCGGTCTCACGCGCGAACTCCTAACCTCTAGACCTCTGGATCGTGAATATTCACTACTGAAGAGTTCTACAGCAGGACGCGTTGGGCGTTCAGTGCTTTTAGGTTTTCCGTAATGGTTTAACTTCTGTTGACTCATAATTTCAACTACTAAAATCACTATAATATCCCTGAATCCTTTTCTGAAATTAGGTATATTCCGACCTATTAAACCGTTGAATAATGTATATATGCTTTTCGATATTAATCTAAAAGGACGAATTGTGATTTATGTTGTCAACCCTTTGACTAACTCTTTTTTGTTGTTGTTTTAACACATAGACAATTCACTGTTTTTTTAAAATAAAAAAAACAATCATTTAAAATGTCATACAATTCAAAATAGACAAATAAATAAAACTGTATATTTTTTCATTACAAAATAATGTTTTATCAATAATATTTCTAGTAGTAACTAGGTGATATTCCATAATTTGATTAACTTTACTTTTAATGATATAAAATGATCTTTATTTTATGTCATGGTTATTCCTTCATTGACAATAAATATTTATTTGTATACATTTTCAATATGTTCAATGTCATCATTACTGGATTGTCACGAAAAACTACACTATTTTTTTGTTTTTTTTTCAATTTTTTTCGAGTTTTTTGTTTTTTTCGAATTTTTTTTTGTTTTTTGTTCTTTTTTTAGTTTGTATTTTGTAGCGATTGGAAACTACAATCCCTTTTTTGTATTTCTATTTTTAGTTCTTTAAAATTCTATTCAATATATTTTCTATTTCAGTAGTATATAACTATATACAAAAATTTTAAGCTACTGTCTATTCAATATAAAAAATGTTGACATTTTTTTAAAATTACTTGACATTTTAAAACAAATAAACAAAAATTATGACATTCAGTTGTTCTTCTTTTTTTCCTTCTTTTTCTTCTTCTTCTTCCTAATTTGACATTTAAATATAAACAATGAATACTGAAGTGGTGTACAATCGAGAAAACTATTGTTGATTTGTTGGTGTTGTTGTTGTTGTCGTAAAAGACATCAGTTTAAGTACATTTATATTGTCTAGGATATGTGTAATACCAGAAAAAATTAGTTATATTCTTTGAAAGTGTTACAGAACGATAGAGTTTAATACAGAATTCGGTGAGATTATAATTTATGGACGACATTTAAACAAGGTTAGACTGACCTTGAATGTGTTCACATGATAACCAGGATTAAATGAAGGTTATAAATTAGTATGATGAATTCGAATGATGATTTACAATTGATGATTAAGGTTAAGAATTAGATTTAGGGTTTTCATCACGAACTAATATCAACTATAATGCCAAAACTCTATTTATCCAAATAGATGAGTAAATTTTGCGCCAAAATCTTAGACTTGTTATCTATTATCTGATTGGTTCGTCCATAAATTATAGTCTCGCCTAATTCTTCGTTTAATAGTATTGTCTTAATTATTCTTTGTTCTACTTTGATTGTTGAAACTGAAGAAAATGAACTTATCAACATCAGTTAGATTATAAATAATGGCTGTAAGCATTCAGTGGTACTTCAAAAAAGGGAATGAAGTATGTAGTAGGAATGTTGAGACATATTGATGTAGGATTTTGTCTAATTGTGATTGAGTTCTATATTTTAGTTTCATATGAGCCATTGCTCACTTCATTACATAAAAATGTCTGTACCATCTATATTTAGAAGTAAGAAATCGTTTTACTTTGTGACAATCCATAAACTGATGTGCTTCAGAAATATGATTGGATGTTAAGAACCAATCAACATCGAGGTGCACAGAACAAGCTGTGAAACACATATGGAGAAATTTGAACACTTCACTTCTATCTGAAGTTTGTGCTGATGATGTCGTTCAGAAGAACGATGAAAGCTCCACGACCAAACCATCCAGATGAGAGAACAAAATTCCATCAAAAACATAAAATCCTTGTGAGATTTTCTCAATGGTTCATCCGCAAAAATAGTCAGGTGTTTGTTGGTTGTTTTGACAATAAGGAAAATGATTTTAACCGTTGGTATTATTCTGAACAGTTTCAACAGAGAACTTACTGTAAGCTACCAAAGTAATAAACATCTTATATATTTATCAATATAATTTTCTTATGACAATATTTCTACCGAAATATAACCATAAAATATATCAGTAATGATACGTTTTACTTCTAACTATTAAGAATTTCATTTTCTTCAATGGTCGAGAACATGAGTGAATTGAAGTTAAATCACTATAAAAAACTTGAAAGCATTAGAAGGCTGTTTTGTCTTAGAGTGGGATTCTTCAGCAATGCGCATTCACGATCCCGCCTAGTGAGGGATTTTTGTTTGAAACTAAAGACTATCCTCATGATGGTATGATTTTACAATATTAATTATAAAGTATAAGACTTCAAATGATATTCAATAGAATGATAAAGCTGTATATAAATGAATATTTTAAATAAGCAAATCAATAAAATGTCTCATTGAGAAACCATCAGTAAAACTAATTTATTCAACATACCCTGATATTTCCCATATATATTACCATGTTCCCATTTTCATGTATTAAATGGTTTACTATAATCTAGTTGCTACATAAAGTGAGACTATACAGGAAATAATAGTCGGCAGATACAAATATACGATTGAGGATTCAGTTCACTTATCTATATTACATTCTAGTTAGTCTAATGTAGAAATCTCAACTCATTTATTATTATTATTATTATCAGAATGGGTTTTGTGGAGATTTTTGAAGCTAGACCACCATGGAAAACCTTTTTTATTACTACGTTACTTTATGGCCCCTTTCTTTATATTTCCGAATAACGGTAAGTTTTATTTAGTTTTAAGATCGAGAATTATTAAAATTGTAATTTATCATCGATTCGAGTGACAATTTCAATAAATAATTTTTCTTGTAAATGCACTTATGGGGAACTACGAAAACCATCATGCAAAAGATACAAGTGTTTATCAACAGCTGTCTACGCAAAATAATTCGGTTCCGTTGGCCAAACATTATCAACAACAATCTACTATGGGAGAGAACAAACCAGATTCCAGTGGAGGAAGAAGTTCTCGAAGTGGATAGGACACACATTGAAGAAAACACTCATTTGCGTCACAACGTAAGCCCTCACATGGAATCCTCAATGTCGAAGGAGAAGAGGACAATCAAAGAACACATTACGCTGAGAAATGGAGACAGACATGAGAAGAATGAACAACAATTGGATAGAACTATAAAAAAAGGCTGAAGACAGAGTGTGTTGGAGAATACTGATCATTGGCCATTGAGGTTAATAGGCATAAGTAAATAAATAAGTATGGTTCATTTTGATAAGTTTTACTGTTTTCGTTCATTGCATTGTCATTATCGTTCTACTCAATAACATGTGTTTGAATTCAGTGAGGCAATTCAAAGCAAAACTATGTACTAGTGTAACAAATTCTTGTTCAATAACCATCCAACTTATTGTTTTAATTTCATTGAAATATATGGAAAAATGTTTCTCAATATTGATCAGCTGTTATAATTTTTTATTTGTAACGATTTTCTTTAACCAGTTTTGGTGTGGAAACGTTTTTTATTTTACAAAATACTCAATGCAAACTGTTACTTGGTTCTTCAAAGATCATTCAGAAGAAAGATCTACCGATCATCACAATGGTTGTGGTTGTACTTAAGTCTAATCTTCTTTCTAATGGTTTGTAAATTTGAGGGTTAGCATACAAAATTAGTCAGGAAAAATGGATGAAAAACAGAAAAAAATTATTATATTATGTGAAAAAGTTGGAAAACAGGTATCATTGAGGTTTAGGCAAATCGTTGACACTAAAGCAATTTAGGTAAAAAAAAGAGTAGGAAGAAATAATGTTCTTTATTCATTCCTTGCAAGTGATTGACCACTGAATAATTGTCAAATTCATGTCTGTTTAGTCTTTTTTTAAATTTTGATATAATTCTGTCTATCAAGTTACAATGTGACCATTAGTTTAAGTATTTTGACATCACTTTCATTTTCATGACATGTTAAATGGTTGGATCTAATTGAGAAGAAGCCATGAATCTACGTATCGTGCTAGCAAATAATAACCGACAAGGCATACCTGTACATGAATAGCTTAATTTAAAGGCCTTATATTGTGAAACTATGTGATGTGGGCTAGAATCCTCTAGAAAGTATCAATTTTCTCAAGATTACAGGTACCTCAGACTGACAAATAGTAAACAGTCTAGGTTTGGACCCTCGCATAGACTACTTCTAATAACTTGACATTCTCAATTCCTATTCTAGACATAAGTTTAGATTTTATTGCTTCTGAAGTCAAGTTATTGTATAAAACATTTTTGTTTTTTTAATGGTTGAGATCATGAGTCATTTGGAGCTAGATCACCATGGAAAACCTGGACGAACTGAACGGCCGTTTAGTCCTTGTTGGGACGGTATATTCCCAAAATTCATATTTGTAATTTTATCATATCGATTGACTCATCGATTAAATTTTGGATGGAAGTCACATGATGAACTTATCGACTAAATATTCGAATGCCTGTCGAGTGATGAACTGAATGAGTCATGTTTAAAAATAACATTTAATATGACAATATCGATTTTATATATTTATATATATATACGTTTAAAATTGTGTCTGAGCGTTCGCTACGGTTCGCTGCTGCTGCTTGCTTGCTTGCTCGCTCGTTTTCTGGTTGTATGCAGAATATATTTTCCATACCAAGCCTGGACTTCTCCTTCTAGTTAGCGGGGCTGGGACGCGTCAATAGTTAGATTACTGGTCTTTGGTCATTGAGTATTGTTCTCGTTCGCAGTCTAAGTGAACCCGTGAAGCTTCAAACCTAACAATTTGGCGACGGTGATTACGGAAATATGGATCCATCTAAACTTGAATTATTACTCGAGCAGCAGATGAAACTTATTCAAATGTTAGCAGATGCAAAGCTTACATCTAATTCTCAACCAAGCAGTTCTAATCCTATTACTACTGCACCATCAGTTGATGGTATTGCTAACAGTATCTCCGAGTTTCATTACGATCCAGAATCCAATGTCACGTTTGATATGTGGTTTCGACGTTACGAAGACTTATTCAAATTTGACTTTGCCAACCAGGATGATGCTTGGAAGGTCCGCTTGCTGCTTCGAAAGTTGGGTCCTAGTGAACTAGACAAGTATTGCAATCTAATTCTGCCTTTAAACCCACGCGATCGTTCATTCTCCGACACTGTCCAGTCATTGAGCCAACAATTCGGAGACAACTCCTCACTATTCAATGCGCGCTATCGATGTTTGAAGCTCACTATGAACGAAGATGATGATTTTCTCACACATGTGGGTATTGTCAACCGAGAATGTGAACGTTTCCGATTGAAGTCGCTTACTGAAGATCAATTTAAAGCACTCATTCTCATCTGCAGCCTTCAATCGCAGAAGTTCAGTGACATTAGAACACGGTTGCTAAGTCGATTGGACCAAGACCCAAAACTAACTCTTAATGATATTGCAAATGAATATCAACGTCTAATCAATCTACAGCGTGATACTACAATGGTCCAGCGTGGTGGTTCAAATCGTACCGAAGTTCATGTAGTCCAACAACCACTTAACTCGCATAAATCTGCCCCAGCTACATCTAGTTCAGGTCGACAGACAAAAACAAATCCTCCTGCTCCATGCTGGCACTGCGGTGCATGGCATTTTGTTCGATACTGTCCATATAAGCAACATCGGTGCAGGAAATGTAATGCGGTGGGTCATAAAGATGGTTTTTGTCGAAAAAAGAAGCCGAGCAACTCCAGAGGTACCAGAAAACCTACGCCTAGATCCAACACGAATTCGTTGAGTCTAATAGCAGGCTGTGAGAACTCAACCCCAGTTGAGAGGAAATTTATTACCCTTAATATTAATGGGCATTCATCGAGATTGCAAATAGATACAGCATCAGATGTCACTATCCTCTCTCGTAAAACGTGGACCAAAATGGGCAGCCCAAACTTGCAGTGTACAACGCAAAAGCCTCGTACTGCGTGTGGTAATTACCTTCACCTGCTTGGACAAATGGAATGTACAGTTACTTTCCGTGAATTGGCATTTGTTGGGGTATGCTACATAACACCAGCTGATCTAAATTTGCTTGGGTTAGATTGGTTCGATCACTTAAATTTAGCTGATGTTCCGTTGAATACCATATGCAACCTGGTATCACAACCCCAACTTCGACAACAACCACATGACTTGGAAGCATATACGAGGAACCTAATGACGGAGTTTTCGACCAGCGAACATCATACGGCCGGCGAAGATGCAGTTATTGCCTCTCCATTGACAGAGGACCGCACACAGTGTCAACAAGCAGCCAAGTGTAACGCAAAAATACTGCCGGTCCCATGGCCACAGCCTGAGTATCCCTGGTCCAGGATACATGTCGATTTCGCAGGCCCAATTAATGGAATTACCTATCTAGTCGTTGTTGACGCCTTTTCGAAATGGCCAGAAATCGTTCCCGTCATACCACCAACGACAACTCAAACGATACAACTTTTGACAGAGATGTTCTCTCGCAACGGATTACCGGATATAATTGTTTCCGATAATGGTTCGCAATTCACTTCAAGTCAATTTCAAGAATTTTGCAAACGCCTATCGATCAAGCATTTCCGCTCTCCACCTTACCACCCACAGTCAAATGGACAAGCAGAAAGATTTGTAGATACATTCAAGAGAGCTCTAATGAAGTCGAAAGGGGAGGGGACGACAGTAGAAACACTGCAGAATTTCTTGTTTGTTTACCGAACAACACCTAATGATATGCTACCACAGCAGAAGTCCCCTGCAGAGATCCTGATGGGAAGGAAATTGAGCACGATCCACAGTCTCATGTGCCCAAGAACCACACCACCACCATCCCATAACAAATCTCAGAAGCTTCCAGCGTACGAGGTTGGATGCCCCGTGTTCGCTCGAGACTACAGAGCAAATCATGGTCCTTGGATCGAAGCACGTGTGATTGGAAGACTAGGTCAAGTTATGTACGAGGTAAAGGTGGGAAGAGACACGTGGACTAGACACCGAAACCAACTACGTAAGCGGATTGCCCCAGACCACCCATCAAATGGAGTAAATCTTCCCCTCGACATCTTGCTTGATACTTTCAACTTACCTGCAGCCCCATCACAAGAAGCTCAACAGCAAGCTGATCCCCGTCCCAGAAGGTGGCCTCTCCGTCAGCGGCGAACTACAGTCAAAATGCAAGTCGACCCCAGAAAAGCGCGCTATTAAAAAGGGGAGGAGTGTTGGGACGGTATATTCCCAAAATTCATATTTGTAATTTTATATCGATTGACTCATCGATTAAATTTTGGATGGAAGTCACATGATGAACTTATCGACTAAATATTCGAATGCCTGTCGAGTGATGAACTGAATGAGTCATGTTTAAAAATAACATTTAATATGACAATATCGATTTTATATATTTATATATATATACGTTTAAAATTGTGTCTGAGCGTTCGCTACGGTTCGCTGCTGCTGCTTGCTTGCTTGCTCGCTCGTTTTCTGGTTGTATGCAGAATATATTTTCCATACCAAGCCTGGACTTCTCCTTCTAGTTAGCGGGGCTGGGACGCGTCAATAGTTAGATTACTGGTCTTTGGTCATTGAGTATTGTTCTCGTTCGCAGTCTAAGTGAACCCGTGAAGCTTCAAACCTAACAGTCCTATTGTGAGAGTCCTCAGAAAAGCGCATCCACGACCTCACTCTCCGTGAGACTCGAACCTAGAACCTACTGGTTTCGCGTGCGAGCACTTAACCACTAGACCAGTGTGCCGGCATCCAACGGTGTTAATGTCTAAATTCAACTAATTTTTATTCACAAAAATATGAGACTAAATAATGATCAAATATCAGTTAATAAACTATTTAAATAAGCTTCGTAGTTTCATTCTTTTTGTAACTTCATAACTATATAAATGTGAAAATTTGAAATCCACATGATAATCGACCTCTTCTAGTATTATTGTATGGTTCATATGTTGTTTATAAGAAGCTTTTGAATATTGTTGAATTCTATAACACGCATCAATAATTGACGTCTGTTAGGTAGCCATTGAAAATCAAACAGCACTAGACAATTATTTCTTTCTAATTTAAGACTTTTAAGTAGTATACACCTAATAATTCATCAAGGATCAGACTTAGAATCTTTTTTTATAGTGATGAATGCATAATCTATAGACTACTGACCTGTCAGTTTTAGTAGTATACATATTTCCTTTGAAACCGAACTATTTTGTTTTAAGTCCTTTTTAACCGTTTAAATACTAGAATTGTAATACTTTTTTCTCCACACAAAACTTAACCTTAATCGACTAGCGTATTAATTGAAACTTAAAAGAAGAGTAAGCGTAAAGGAAATTCTGGGAGAAAACAAAATTAGTAATTTGTTGTTTTGTTTTAAATAATTGGACATTGATATAATTTAGAATATAAATTTAATTAACATGAAATTTGATCATTGATGACTAAAACAGAGTAACAAACAAGTTTTCTATATTGGCTATCAGAAAATAAAACATATAAGAAGTGAACATGAAAGAAAAACAATATATAGAATAAACTAGCTTTATGACTATTGTTAGTAATAATATTAGACTCAAATGACTTGGTACGACTGAGACTGAGGAAAGTCAGCTCTCTCTCTCATTCTCTATCGAAATGATCTCACATGGCCTCGTGCATACAACCACTGCCACGGAAGTCCTACTCAGTGCCCTCTCGTGGCGAGGGTGATTTTTACGAAATTGAGAGGACGAAAAGCAATTGTCCGGTGCTTTAACCACCGAGTTAGTGGACACGGAGAGTCCACATAGTGGAGTCGAAAAATCCTGGTTACAAATCAATGGTGCACATGAGCTCCAGTATCATGAAGGAAACAATGGTGTATGAACCAATCGTTGGTCACCGTCTACCATGGGACTGTATCTCCTAAGGTTGCTCCACTACCTTGTGAATTAGACCTTTTGGTCTAAATCTCTGAGTATGACCCCTATGAAAATCACCTGCTACGGTTTGTGGACCCGGATAGTATCCCGGCTCTCACACAAATCGAATGATTTATTTGGCGCATTTCTGTTTTATGCCTCCTTGCACCGATGTTTATGTGTTTAAATAAACAAATAAATAGATATTAACAGTGTTTCAACATCTTTGACGTTTTATCTACCTCTTTCCGGTCCTTCTAATTCTCTCACTCACTTTCTCCATCTTACACACACACACATAAACATACACACGCAACGTAAATATAGATGAATGCTTTCTTTAATAAAGTTTATTTATTATTTCCGAATTCGAACAAAATTATTATCATTAACTACCAAAGAAAACAACAAGAGTAAGGAGTAGTGATATTGTATGAAAGAGCAAACAAGAAAGACAATAAAAAGTAGTACTATTTGTAGAATGTAATCAGGTCAAGCTGAAAATAAAAACAACAAAGCCTAATTTATAGCACGAAGAGTATATAAAAGAGTCGCATGCCAGCACATACACACATACACACACACACACGTTGATAAACAACTTAATACAAAATAAACTTATCACTGTATATGAGTTTATTACTCTTGTAATTTGTGCTTTTCTTCATGCATCCATTCCAATTGTTTATTTCCTTTTACCGGTTGTTGTAATTACTACTTTTATTTCTTGTAAAATAACAGGTTTTCTTTTTCGTTTCTTATTTATATTCAGATATCTTAGGAGTAAACAAATAAATAAGTTGGTTGACATTTTCTCTCCCTCTCTCTCTCTTTACATACATTTAATCCCTAGTGATTTAATTGATGAACTAATAATTGTTCGTGAGTTTAAAAAACATAAAAGGAGAAGCAAATACAGGCGAAATAATGATTGTATCATTTAAGGTTTAACATCAAGTAAGGTAGAATAAACGAAGTATTCAATGATTTGACGAATTCACTTACACTTCTAGTTTTCTTCAGTTTATTACTATTATATACATATATATGTCCATATTATTAGCGTGTAAGTTCTTCAAGTTAAATTGATGTACTGATGTATGGAACTAGATGAAAATTTCTAAATTATTCACTTACTCTCGATTCTTCCTTCTTTTTTACTGTGTTTATTTCATCTTTCTAATATTTACAGTCTAATTTTTTCTTCTAGTATCAGAAGTGGTTTTGTGGAGATTGTATTAATTTCAATAGTTGAGATCATGAAACTAGATCACTATGGAATACCTAGAAGCACTGAACGGCCATTTCATTTGTTAGACATTAACAAAGTTCATTGGTTTAGTACTTAGGCGTAGGTCCTGAGTTCCAGTCTCGTGAGGCGGAATCATGAATACTCACTGCTGAAGAGTCAAACAAAAGGAAGAAACATCCATCCAGTGCTTCCAGGTTTTCTATAGTGGTTTAACTTCAATTGACTCATGATCTCAACTATTTTTTTAACATACGTCAAACAATTATCAGAATATTCACTTTGACGATCTTCTTAAATATTGTGATTATGTAAATATATTTATATTGTCGTTTTACTTCAGATTTCTCTTTGTTCTCTTTCTTCACGATCTTTTAAGATTCATTTTTAATTTAGATATAAAATTTGGATAATAAAATATTGAATTTATCATTTTAGAAAATAAAAAAAATTAATTTTTAACCATTTTGTTCCCAAAACAAAAAATCTAATTAAACAAAGATGGATAATGACTAACAATGGGATCTTAGATAGTGTTTCGTCCCATCATAGGACTCATCAACTCGATGTATTTGTATACAAGAGAAAACAATATTAAATAAATTTAACAAACTAATTATGATTATATGATATGAGTTAAATAGTTTAATTATTGTTGTCATCTTAAAACAACAAAAGATTTAATTGATAAGATATAATGAAAAAAGAAGAAAAAAACAAAGAAAAACTATGACAAGTAATGTTAATTAGATAGCAACAAAAAAGAACAGAGAGGGGGAGAGGGAGACATTGTCACTTTTATCGTTTTCAAGTAAATAACCAAAAAATGTTTTTTTTTCTCTAGATTGTTCTCAACCTATAAATTTTTGAAATTTTTTATTTATTTTTAAGATAATTATGTCATGCATATTGTTAAATTATACGAATAAAGATGGATAGAATAAATTTTCTATGAACTAAAAGTAATTATATGATAAACTAATTTAGAAAATAATGATTGTATAGAAATGAAAAGGTTAGGCTTGAAATGAAATAAACAGAGTTCTACTGGGAATATTTGACAGGCATGGTTGCGATCTTTTATTTTTTAGAAGTTATTCAACATACATAATTACTTAATTACACCTGTTAACCTCAATGAGGCATAGACCACCGATCAGCGTTCTCTCACACTGTCTTCATCCTTCCTTTCTATTTCTATCCAATTGTTGTTCATTCTTTTCATGTCTGTCTTCATTTCTCAGCGTAATGTGTTCTTTGGTTGTCCTCTTCTTCTTTGACATTGAGGATTCCATGTGAGAACTTGCGTTGTGACGCAAATGAGTGGTTTCCTCAATGTGTATCCTATCCACTTTGAGAACTTCTTCCTGATTTCTTCCTCCATTGGAATCTGGTTTGTTCTCTCCCATAGTAGATTGTTGTTGATATTGTTTGGCCAACGGATCCGAATTATTTTCTGTAGACAACTGTTAATAAACACTTGTATGATGGCTTTCGTAGTTCTCTAAGTTTCGACGCCATACTGTAGAAGTTTCTTGACATTTGTATTGAAAATCCTGACTTTGTTGATGGTTGACAGTTGTTTAGAGTTTCAGAGGTTCGTTAGTTGTAGATATGCTGCTCTTTCTTTGCCAATCCGTACCTTTACATTTTCACCAGAACCACCATTTTCATCAATGATGCTGTCCAGATATGTAAAGGTTTTTACATCATCCAAATTTCGATTGGTGCATGTTGTTTTGTATTGCAGTATTTTGCTTTTCCCTTTGTATGTGTTGAGATTCACTGCTGCCGCTACACTGGTTGTCTTCTCCTTCATTTGTTATTGTGTGTGCGATAACGTAAAAAACGAATTCTCAAATCCTGACAAATGTTTTGAAGCCCTTTTATTATCAACTTAATCCACAATTTACCGAAATTAATTCATTTTATGTGGTGACATAACGACTATTATGACATAATCTTTAAAGTGAATCATATCAATTACAAAGAATTGAATATTCAGCAAACTGTTTATCATGAAAGAGAAAGAATGTATTTTTAAAATCTCAGCGATAGAATTTGAAGTACATCCAACTATTCGCATGGCAATCTGATCCAAGCTTTTTCAAGCAAATTATAATCGATATATTATATTTCATAATTTTGTTGTTTGATAACCAAGGACATGAATTTAATTGAGAAAACATCAGTATTCAAGATAGACAGGAACTTTCTAGAATTTCGGTCAATTTAATATCAGTATACTTTGAGACACAGACTTAAAAGATCAATCAATACAAAAAGAAAGGTCAATATATCATATAATTCAAGGTCATGCAGACGAGGTACAAATTAAGCAATCCAAAAAAGAAACTCATCAGAGTAGATAAATTTAGGATTTTTTGGAATAATTAAAAACTCAATTTCACTTAAAGTAATCACTGATGGTTTTGTCCAGAACGATAATGAAACTTTCTAACTAAACCATTTAACTCA